AAATGAGCAAGCAATAGGTTGTGGACGGATGTATTAGGTACGTATAGATCAGTGTCAATTCGTTCTTCTCCGTATCAATTTGTTCTTCTCCGTATCAGACCGTACTTATTCGTACTAACCCGTGCTTATACCGTAGCAGACCGTAGTGTATCCGCAGTGCGTCTGTCCGGATTCGTGTCGCTCCGTATCAAACCGTGTCGGTCTGTAACATTCCGTGTCTCTCCGGGGGCTTTTGGTGGTAAATCCGTCGGACTCCGTACTCATACCGTTGTGTGTCCGTACTGTAACCGTAGCGGCTAACGGAATTTCACATTTCCGTAGTAATCCGTGAACGATTAGACCGTAGCTCTTCCGTGGCATTATCCGTGAATATGTGACCGGGGCATAAATGTCACATACTTGCTTATTGTCTTATTGGTAAATCACTTATTCCTTGACTGAGTGGTAAAAGATACCTTTTTATTCCCTTACATATTGTTAACAAAAGGCATATAGAAATGGGCTTCGTTCATTTGTCTGTCCACCTCACTTTGTGTCTCAGCCATTCATCAATTTATTTTGAAATGACTTTGTGTAACTTTTTCATCCATCAAGGGATTTTGAAATAACTTGGCATAAATGTTAACCATAGTATGATGTCATGTATTACTTAAATTAAGGTGCTTCTAACTTCTATAAATATATGTCTTACCATTTTAATGTAAAGACGTAGGGGTATTTATAATTGCAAAACAGTATTGGACAAATCAAGTTAAGGAAGTAATTGCCTGGTCTTTTTATTCTTTTGAGGACAATTCTGACCTCGTCTTTATTTACTGTTACCTTACAAGACAGCAGACAGACATTTCAATGAAGGGTAATTTCATTTCTTGTTAAAACTGTTGGACTTTAGTTTCCTGTCAATCTGATATGTCAGGATTCTAAAAAAGGAATGAAAAGTAGGAATTAACTTTTATAGCTTTCTGAGATTGTCTCAATGTTAGCACTACGTCTCTTGACAAATTTAATTGTGGAACTCCTGGCGGATAAAACGTATTGTCTTTTTTTAATTTTGATTTATTCTGATTTTAATCGGAGAGAAAATAGTGTTAACATTTTAAAGGAGTGTTTTTTAATAAAATTATACTTAAACAGTACCTTTTAATAATAAAAAAGGAGTTGTTTTTATTTCGTGTTGATATATATTGGAGGTTGATGTGGACTGGATGTTTTTGTTTGAATTGTTAACTGGCCAAATGTTCAGTGCTAAGAAAGCAAGTACATGTATACTGTTTCTTGCTCTATTTAAGCATTTTGAAAACAAAAATTCCCAAATTAGTCACAGGATTAATTATTGACCTAAATTTTGTGAAAAAAAAAAAAAATTTATAAATAACAAGGTTTGACATTAAAGGGATATTCAGGCAAAATAATGACAAAAATATTAAATTGATCTTACGTTCTCAAATCACTCTAAAATGTCATTTCGAAACGTCCTAGCATGAATTAATGAATAAACTCTGTATATTTTGGGTTTGAAGAGTAAATATATCTATATATGTGAAACGAAATTTAAAAGCAAACAGAAACACCGAATAGTTTTAAAACAAGCCAAGTGACTTTAACAAACCCTGGAAGTTACAATAACAGATATTGTGGACATTGTATGATTGAAACAAGCCTAAGTCATTCATTTGATTTGTTCTTAAACGTTTCAATAGTTCACTGTGACAACTATTGTGAAATCTAAACACTCTAACCTGACCCATGTGGGTCAAGTTAAGAAACCACCATTTCATTCTTTATAAAGAGAAAAGTTTTGTTCCTGTGACTGTTTAGTGTACATTTACAGAATAATGAATAAAAAAATTCAAAACGAAGAAATGAAAATTTTGCCTGTGTCTGCCTTTAAGGGGGGTAATTCTTTCTTACAGGAAGAATGATCATTTTGAAACATTGAATGTAGACAATTATAAAATGTTTGCCCATTAATCCCTCTTTAAACCTGTGATTGCTAATTGCCAAATTGACATGCCTAAGTTGAAACATATTAATGTCAGCTCAGATTTGAAAAAATAAGTTCTTGAATCATTAATTACTTTCAAGTCCACTATCAGGAACAATCAACATTTAACATTCTGTTTAAAAATAAAATGGAGTCTCAACCAAAACACGAACCCGCAGTCTCTCAGAATCTCTTTAATCTTTTAATTTTTAAATTTCAATAGCAGGGCAAGACCATTTAGATAAAATAATTGGGGTTGTTGGTCTCATTTTGGAGTTATCTCCCTTGAATTTGCAAAACCCTTTCATTTAAAGGAAATTGGAAAATGGTTAGACTATAGGCAAGGAATGAAAAAAAATAACCACCCACTGGACTTCTGGGCCCCCACTCTGAATTGATATGCTTGTGTGGTTCACTATGATTTGTGACAGCATTTGTGACTGAGTAATTATTAAATTTAAAAAAAAAAAAGAGTTCACTGTACTCCTAGTATAAAATTAAAAACTTTTATGTCACTGTGAGAAACTAAATATAGTATTTATAACACCCACTTTGAAATAAATATGATACACTTTTAATAAATCTTTTTAAAAACATTTATGTGGAATACATGAATTATAAGCATCTTTTCAGCCAACGCCCACATATTTTATAGTTTTTAATATCATGATCTTTTTTATCTCCTTATTTAGATCTTGGCTTATAAATGTCCCTTGTGAATGGAACAGGGAATTAATATTATAAAAGAAAGACATGATCTTATGTAAATATTACTTTTTTCTCTTTTATGAATAGACTGTGGGATTTCTTTACAGGATTGTGCTAAATTTGCTAGAATTTCCCTTAAAACTTGCACGATTTTTTATATGATACCAAATTATTGATAGTGTTAGTTTGTGTCAACAATAGTGTTGATATTAACTTTATTAAATAAAAATGATTTTTAATTATAACTTAACAGTCATGTTGTTTATGATATTTAATCTTTTTAAGAAAAACAAAGAAAATGACCTATTTTTACATTTTGAGAGATTTTTTTCATTGCTTTCCTTTTTTTAATGGAATCAAATTGATTCAAGATTAATTCTAAAAGTTTGTCAGAGCCTCATTTTGGCTGGTTGCCTTGTTAATGATCCTGCCTGACATGGTGGTCAAATTCTTTAAGTTTAAGGAAATTTTATCTAGTATTGCTATTCATCAGTAGATTTGGGTTGGAAGCATTATCTTGAAAAGTAGTAAATTAAAATTTCTGTTAAAATCTGTAATTGATAAAAAAATTTGAAAACTCTAAAAGATACTGTTTTGTATTTTTGCATACCTGCTAATATAGATATTCGGACATCTGTTGGAAAAGGGACATAACATAATGATCTATATTTCTAAAGTTATGATTCTTAGTCCCTAGAAAAATAAAGCTCCTTACTTCCTCCGAAAATAATTTTGTATGAATACCAATATCTTGATCAGAAAATTATTCCTCTTCTTGAAAAGTGAAATGTATAACACCATAACAATCTTGGATTGATTTTTTTTTCAATTCTTACCCTAACCTGTTGAGCATTATATAATGTTACCATGGTACTACATTGGGTGCTCTTGTTCTTGTTTGTTTTACATATATATCATACTTCCTTCAATAAAATCATGGAGTTTCAATTAGTTTAAAGTTATTGTATTTTATTTTCTACTGTGACAATATCCTTTTATTAAACTCATATGAGTCTCTCATTTCATAAAACATAAATAGACTAAGTCTTGAACTAAATAATTATAAAAACACGGAAGACGAAAATGATGTTTAAATGAACATCATATAAATTTTATTGTACAAATGACACTTTATCCCAGTTGTGATAAATTATTTCCTGGTTCCATCAAGATCATAGATCTCAATGTTGCAGATTGAATACTGTTAAACCTGTGCTAGAGGACATTCTAAGAAATCTCACATTTTATTTCCCTCATGAACAGACTGTATCATTTCCAACACTTAATTTTTTGTTTAATTTGCTGTCAAAATATCTCCGAGATTTGTTATACAGCTTGTGAAAACAGAATGTTTCTTACTGTTAAAATGGATGTTGGACTAATTAAGAACTTCCTGTGGATCATAGAAAGTAATTAATCTTTCATCTATGTAATGTTAACCTTTTCAAATGGATATAGTACTTATGAAATAAAGACCTTTAAATACAATTAAATTTGTATATTAATGACTTAGTCATTTGTACTAACTTACTTGTACTAAATCATGAAGTACTAAACATACTTATACTGCACTTAAAATACATTAATGAATATAACTATGAAGTACTGAATATACTAATGCTGTACTTTACATACATTATAGAATATACTTGACATGCCTATACCGCACTGAACATAATTATACATAACTGAATATATTTCACTAATATAATTATACCTCACTTAATATACTTATACATTACTGAATTTATTTACTCAGTATTGAATGCACTTATACCACATTTAACATTCTTATACATTACTGAATGAAATATCGCAATACTAAATACACTTATACCACACTTAACATTCTTATACATTACTGAATGAAATATCGCGATACTGAATACACTTATACCACACTTAACATTCTTATAAATTACTGAATGAAATATGGCAATACTGAATACACTTATATCACGCTTAACTTACTTATAAATTATTGAATGAACTATTGCAGTACTGAATACACTTATACCACGCTAAATTTTACTTATAAATTACTGAATGAAATATCGCAATACTAAATACACTTATACCACACTTAACATTCTTATAAATTACTGAATGAACTATTGTAGTACTGAATACTCTTATACCACACTTATATACTTTTAATATCACTGAAAATACTGACACTATACGGAACATGTTCATACCAGTCTCTTTTAACATACTTACACTTTATTTTGTGCTGAACAATTAACCTATTAATTTTGTTGGTTGTTTTATCACTATATCATTATAATGTTTTATTATATATTTACAGATTGTGTAAGAAGCAACTATAGGACATTCCAGATTGTTAACATTGTCTGTGATTGTTCATCATTTATATACAAGAATTCAGGAACTGCCAAAATAATCACTGCCAAAACTATCCTGATGATCGGTAGAGGGAATGCTCATTTTTCACAAATTTTTCTTTTGATTGGAGGATAATCTTTTCTAGATTTTAGTGACTCTTTTATGTATCTTTTTTTGTTTAAAATTTGTTTTTATGTCATATTTTCCTAATTTTTAAGGATTAGACAGATTTAGTGCCAAGGGACCTTTTTGTGTGTCCATATTAATTATCAAACAAGTGTACTTTTATGTACTACTTCATTGCTGCTGAGATGCCAGTAACTGCTTGAAATGATGCATGTTTTGGTATCTGAGGTTTTTCCTCACCATTGCAACTGAAAAGTTGCCAAATTACCTTAACCCTTATCCTGCGGGAACGGAATGTGTGGCCTTTGCTACCAGTATATAGCCAGGCTAGCTGGCATGTCTGTGCTGTCTGACTAGGCTCTATACTGTTGCGTCATTTTGAGATCTCCCCAAATTGATAATGGATAATTTCAAAAAATGAAAGTTGGACTAGTCCATTTAAGAATTTCGGCATTCTAATGGTAATCGATTCGAATTCTTTGACAGTCTGACTTAAAACATAATCAAAATAAGGATGATAATCAGTATAGTATCAAACGAGAAAATTTTTAATCATTTTAAAGGTAATATATATCAAATTACAGCTGGATGTCTCATGGAGCTATCTCCAAGGTTATGACATTCAACTTGTTTATCCTTTTATTAATTTACTGTCACAGAAGTTCAGTTTTCTGAAAGAAAAAAAATGGACAGCATTTAAATGTACTTGAAATGATATTGTAAGCTGATCAAGTTCATTAAAAAATTGTAGACATTTGTGGTTGATTGGACTCCTTTATTCATGTAAAAATATACAAGACAGAAGAAACAGCGAAACAGTCTCATATTCTTACAACCTATAAACTTGAGCCCTCCCGTGAAATTAACAAGGCGGACAAAAGCCCTCCCCTAACTAAAATAAATATGTATGTTGAATACCTGTGTTTTTTCAATGCACTCAACATATTAAAATTGTTACATATATTTCTTGTTGTTTTCAATTGGCCTAAGTATGTGTATGAGCTAGAACTACCTTTTATTCTGAATTTACCTTCCTGAAATGTTTAACAAGGTAACTTTTTACACAAATGTCATTAAAAATAAAGTTACTTTCAAGTCATTTAAGTTAAATAATTTTGACTTCTTTGCATCATTTATTACTCTTCACATAGGAGTAATCCTTCATATCTACGTGAATAAATATGCACTTACAGATTTTAGCACTAATTTTTCAGATGCCCCTCAGGAATGTGCTCAAGCTCATACAAACATGCTTATGCCAATGGAAAACAAAAATATTCATGATTACAATTTTAATATGTTGAGTGCATTGAAAAGACAATATAAACTATTCAACAAACATATATGTATTTGCTGCGGGAGGGCTTATTTCCGCCTTATTATTTTCACGGGAGGGCTTTTGTCTGCCAAGTCATTTTTACGGGAGGGCTTTTGTCCGCACTGTCATTTTCACGGGAGGGCTTTTGTCTGCCTTGTCATTTTCACGGGAGGGCTTTTGTCCACATTGTCACTTTTTGACGGGAGGGCTTTTGTCCAGGAGGGCTTTTGTCCTACTCACCACCAGTACTGGTAGGTTCCAGGAAGCGGACTCAAAAGTGATAAATATAAGTTGCAAGACATGTTTAAACATATTGTTTTATCTATATAATATATCATTTCTGCTTTTATATTAGAATCATTTCACATTTTTCTAAACTTTAATACCGGTAGTCTGTAATTTAAAATTAAATAAAATCAAAAATTATTGTCATGGCATAATACATAATTTTTGTTATAAAAAAAAGTTGCTCCAATTTTTTGCACAGTGAATATATTTGGAATTGAAAAGCCTCGCCACCAATATAGAGACTGCATGGACTTCATATCCCCAAAGTAATGGATAGTTCCAAAAATGAAAACTGGTCAAGTACATTAAAATATTCAGCAGATGAAGGTGTCTGTGGTAAACTAAACTTTACGCTCCCTGAACTTTTATTGGAGCATTTTCATATAGGTACATGACCTTCCAATCTTTTGTTACATTTACCTAACTTTTCCTTGTCACACCTTTATTTATTGAATGATATATTTAGTGTGAAGGTACCTTTCATTGACCTCTAACCTTGGATGGGGGTACTTGTTGATTGGGTGAAGGTCTCTTAGGCTAAAAATAGATTTTACTAATTTTCATCATTTTACGGCCATAATTTTAGCTTCAGCAAAAGCAACTTTAGGGAGCATTCATTTTATCTTATTGAAATGTTTGTTAACTGTAAAATGAGAGAAAAAAGTATGTAACAAATATGTGAGTTTTTCTTTGGAACATCAATATTAACAGCATTACTGATTTATTATGTGGGTGTAACTGTAAAAAGATACAAGCATATTGCATTTATTCTGTGATAGTTTCCAAAATATATTTTCTATTCAGTAGAATGATGTTACTGACTGCCGCCTCTAGAACAAGACTATTTTCTCAAGTTCGGTCTGTATTTAGTGTAATGCATTTCCTGTGTATTTGGCTCGGATATTGGTCTATGATTATTATATTGTTGTCTGGCCTTATTGATTGTGCACACTTCAACGCCAGTACTTCCTACGTATGTTTAAACTCACCAATGGTTATCTTATACAGGGATTCTGAGGTGATCTATAGTTAAAGTTTATGTAAGTGGTACTTTGGACAGAAAACATACAAAAAAGTTTATTTATGTTACTGTAATTATATAGATTTTTGTGTAATTTAGATATTTTATCATGTATAGAAAATAATGAAGGAAAAACATGTACATGTAGTTGGATCTGGTGTTTATAAATATATATGACTGGGAATGGATGTTGATCAGCTATAAAATAATAGAAAAGCAACAATATATATAAAGAACCTAAACTTTTAACAAGTGCAGATTGATATGTTGGTATTAATAGCAAAGTGTCTTGATCTTTTTAATGTCACAATAAGAAGCTTCTGTCCAAGTGCTCCCAGCAATAGTGACACCCCTTTGTCACAATAATAGTACTCAATAGTGACACCCCTTTGACACAATAATAGTACTCAATAGTGACACCCCTATGTCACAATAATAGTACTCAATAGTGACACCCCTATTTCACATTTATAGTACTCAATAGTGACACCCCTTTGTCACAATAATAGTACTCAATAGTGACACCCCTTTGTCACATTTATAGTACTCAATAGTGACACCCCTTTGTCACAATAATAGTACTCAATAGTGACACCCCTATGTCACAATAATAGTACTCAATAGTGACACCCCTATTTCACATTTATAGTACATGTACTCAATAGTAACACCCCTTTGTCACAATTATAGTACTCCATATTGATGCTGGTTTCCAACAATATCTGGTAATCAGTACATGTTCCTTTTTACATATATAGACCCACCTGTAAAGAGAGCAGATTGTCCCAAATGTTATTGTCTTTGTTCATTGAAACAAACTTTGATGGATACTTGGACATTTAAGTATGCAGCAGTCAATACCAGTAAAAAAGTCAGTAAAAGTCCTTTTAGCTTGACCATTCCAAGAACAGGTAGAACTATTGTACTCACCCAAGCATGGGCGCCGGTGTCACACTAGTTAAGTTTATGCATGCAAATTGATATCTCCAAAACTACTGAAGGGGTCACTGGTTTGGTTTGGTGAGGCAAAATTTCTCTATGGTTGATCTTGGACATTGAGTGTAATGGTCTGTCTCTCTACTGACATGTGGGATTAGTAGCCGATCACTTGTGGAGAAATTGCCAATTACTGGTCAGTTATCCAGGAAAGGCAGTAAGGTTGATTGACCTGATATAATGTAAATTATGTTAAACTCGGAGTAAACACCAAACAAGACAAACAAAGTTTTCAGTTATATGTTTTTAAGTACATCTTAGAATTCATCTTGATACTGAATATTTTAGGAGAGGCTTATTTCTCTCTGGAGAAAGTAAGATGAAAAATAGAATTAAATCCAAATATAGCCTACATTCATTCCTTTTCAATTAATAATCCTTTCATTTTATAAAAGGTATGTAAGAATGTGGGAGTCATTACATGTCGAGATGTCTTTGCACTTGCAGAGACATTGAAAGCATTTAATGTTGGTAATTTTAATTTTAGTTTCATTGATGTTTATGAACTATAATTGCAGTTTCATTTGGTTTATGAATGATAATTTCCATTTCATTTGGTTCATGAATGATAATTTCCATTTCATTTGGTTTATGAATGATTATTGCCATTTCATTTGGTTTATGAATGATAATTTCCATTTCATTTGGTTTATGAATGATAATTTCCATTTCATTTGGTTTATGAATGATTATTGTCATTTCATTTGGTTCATGAATGATAAGTTCCATTTCATTTGGTTCATGAATGATAATTTCCATTTCATTTGGTTATGAATGATTATTGCTATTTCATTTGGTTTATAAATGATAATTGCCATTTCATTTTGATACATGAATGATATTTCCTCTTTATTTGGTTTATGAATGATAATTTCCATTTATTAACCAGGTTTTCAATTTTGAAAATCCTGGTTATTAGATTGGGGTATGGCGGGCGGATGGGCAGATGGGCGGATGGGCGGATGGGCGGATGGGCGGGCGTCAAACGAAATTGTGTCCGCTCTGTAACTCTTCAACCCTTTGAAGAATTTTGATGAAACTTCAGACAAATGTTTACCACATCAAGATGACGTGCAGAACGCATGTTCCGCATGGCTGGCTCCAAGGTCAAGGTCACAGTGACATTAACATTGAAAATCCTGTCCGCTCTGTAACTTTTCAACCCTTTGAAGAATTTTGATGAAACTTCAGACAAATGTTTACCACATCAAGATGACGTGCAGAACGCATGTTCCGCATGGCTGGCTCCAAGGTCAAGGTCACAGTGACATTAACATTGAAAATCCTGTTTACATGATTTTAACTTGAAATTGTGTCCGCTCTGTAACTCTTCAACCCTTTGAAGAATTTTGATGAAACTTCAGACAAATGTTTACCACATCAAGATGACGTGCAGAACGCATGTTCCGCATGGCTGGCTCCAAGGTCAAGGTCACAGTGACATTAACATTGAAAATCCTGTCCGCTCTGTAACTCTTCAACCCTTTGAAGAATTTTGATGAAACTTCAGACAAATGTTTACCACATCAAGATGACGTGCAGAACGCATGTTCCGCATGGCTGGCTCCAAGGTCAAGGTCACAGTGACATTAACATTGAAAATCCTGTTTACATGATTTTAACTTGAAATTGTGTCCGCTCTGTAACTCTTCAACCCTTTGAAGAATTTTGATGAAACTTCAGACAAATGTTTACCACATCAAGATGACGTGCAGAACGCATGTTCCGCATGGCTGGCTCCAAGGTCAAGGTCACAGTGACATTAACATTGAAAATCCTGTCCGCTCTGTAACTCTTCAACCCTTTGAAGAATTTTGATGAAACTTCAGACAAATGTTAACCACATCAAGATGACGTGCAGAACGCATGTTCCGCATGGCTGGCTCCAAGGTCAAGGTCACAGTGACATTAACATTGAAAATCCTGTTTACATGATTTTAACTTGAAATTGTGTCCGCTCTGTAACTCTTCAACCCTTTGAAGAATTTTGATGAAACTTCAGACAAATGTTTACCACATCAAGATGACGTGCAGAACGCATGTTCCGCATGGCTGGCTCCAAGGTCAAGGTCACAGTGACATTAACATTGAAAATCCTGTCCGCTCTGTAACTCTTCAACCCTTTGAAGAATTTTGATGAAACTTCAGACAAATGTTTACCACATCAAGATGACGTGCAGAACGCATGTTCCGCATGGCTGGCTCCAAGGTCAAGGTCACAGTGACATTAACATTGAAAATCCTGTTTACATGATTTTAACTTGATTTGGCAGTCAAAGGTCATATCATCTTTGGAGGTAATTTAAAAAAGATATGATATATTATTTCATGTCTACTTTGTAACTTGTTTTTCATTATACAGAATTATCAATATAATTATAGTGAACAAATTCTTCTGTGCTGAACTCGTCCTACATTTCTCAACGGATTTTGTTCAAACTTTCACAGAAGCTTTGTCATCAAGCACCCTGG